ATATGTAATATTAATACGGATCGAATTTTCTCGATCGATAAAATTTAGATATCTTTTAATCGTAAGTACATGTGTTTCCAAGTATTGAATTACATATACGTATATTTTAAATTCTAATAAAAGTACAGTTAGACTTTTTATAACTACTCAATATTGTGGTTTATCAACTAAACATTTTAATAAATATATCTTCTATATAATTTACTTTCTATGAAAATACATCATTGATCTGAACGACAATGATCATCCGTGTTAATATAAATAAAGGCAGCTTTTTATTTACATACAATTCATCACTAGCATGAATATTTCAGAAAGCTTGATGAAACAGCAGAATAGGTAAAAATACTAATAATAATTCAAAGATTTTTATAAAACTTCTAGTAAATGAAACATATTACACTAAATGAAAAGATTTTTCATCATCGATCGGATAGACCATCATATTTAACTTTAGTATAAAGATCTACAGATGGTTCAATGGAATAAATGGATGGTAATCACTAGGTAAGGCATTTAAATCTAAGTAGAAGAATTTAAATAAAAATGGGATAGTGGTGTTCAATGAGTTGACCGAGGTGCTAGATAACCGTGTGACTATGGTGGATAGGTAGAGAACATAGAGTGGATGTCAACACAGTTCTGACGTTCTTTTCTGAAATCTTGTAAAATAACCTAGAAAGTTCTAGAAGTTTCCATACTAAGGGTATATATATAGGACATGAATGTCTTTCGAATGATAAAAAAATCATCGATATAGATGTTGATGTCGAACCAGAAAGAAATCTTTCTCATAAAGAGATTCGCGTGCTTTTACTTCACGAATTTCGTTTGGGCCACAAAGCAGCGGAAGCAGCCAACAACATATGCAGTACAATGGGCTAGAGTCTAGTCTCCACTCTTATCGCGCAACGTTGGTTCAATCATTTCAAGAATGGAGATTAGAACTCGACGATCTACCTCGATCCGGTAGACCAATGGAACTGGATATGGATCTTTTAAACCAACTCATCGAATAAGATTCTCGATCGACTTGAGGGTGTTTAGCAGAGCAGCTTGAGTGCTCTCATACTACGGTGGAAAAACATCTGAACGAATTAGCCAAGACCTGGAAATACAGAGTATGAATACCTCATGAATTATCATCACATCAACTGCAACAGAGTTGATACACGTATGAATCTAATCACATCTCATCGCCACTATCAATGGTTATCCAATCTGATTACTGCCGATGAGAAGTGGATGTTGTATGTTAATTACACGCGTAGACGTCAGCGGTTGAGCACTGGTCAAACAGGCGTAGGAATACCGAAGACTGATCCAGATCCTAGGAAGTTGATGCTGAGTGTCTGGTGGGGTATTAAAGGAGATGTTCATTGGAAACTACTACCAAATGGTTACACTATCACTGCTGATCTATACTGTCAACAATTGGATCGGGTAGCTGAAAAACTCTAGGGAAAACAGGATCGAGTTTATTTTTTACATGATAACGCAAGACCACATATTGCAAAGTCGACCCGTGAAAAATTATTAAAGCTTGGCTGGATCACCGTTCCCCATCCACCTTATTCTCCCGACTTGGCTCCAACAGACTACCATTGGTTTCGTTCTCTTTCGAATGATCTATGTGATAAAAAGTTCAAAGACGAGAGCGACGTCAAAACGGAACTTATCATGTTCTTTGATGAAAAATCCCAAGACTTCTACGAGCGCGGGATGATGTCTCTGCCAGAAAGTTGGCGACAAGTGGTAGATAGCAATGGTAAATATATATCTGGAAACTAGTTGTACTTTTGAAGTGAGAAAGTAAAAATAAAATTTTTGAAAAAAAAACGCCAAAACTTTGTTGACAACCCAATACATTGTTGTGAACCGCCAACTTAAATCCTTTTGAGTGATTATTTTTCATTACTACGTATTATATTAAGAACCTAAATACATTCTTCAAGTAAGTGTGTTCAACAACGCACAATTAGTATTTATTAATGACGTTGATATGAAAGTAAAACCGCACAAAATCAAATTGTCATGCGATAGGATCTGTCTTCAAACGAATTATCCCTTCCTAATATAATTATCCAGTTGAGCATATTGTACATAAAGATGCTCCCGCGTTACTACAATAACCAGATAGGCAATTAGGACAGTAGCCGTTGCCAACGCCTGTAGCATAAGTGTTAGTTGGACATTGTGTGCAAGAACTGCTCCCAGTGTACGAAGTGTAAGTGCCAGCTGGACATGGTTCCGGTAGCTGAGAACTGTATGCGCAGGAGTATCCTATAGGACACACCGTGCAAGATGTTGCTCCCGCTGCAGTATTGTAATATCCGCTCGAACATAGTGCACAAGAGGTGCTACCCGTGTTTGAGGTGTAAGAACCAGCTGGACATGGTTGCGGCAACTGAGAGCTATCCACACAGACATACCCTTTGGGACACGCTGTGCATGATGTTTGTCCTGACGTTGTACTATAGTAACCTGTAGCGCACGAAGTGCAAGAGCTGCTGCCGGTATATGAGGCATACGAACCAGCTGGACAGGCTGTACACGAAGTTGCACCAGACGCCGAACTGTAATAGCCACTGGAGCACAAGATGCAGTAGCTACTACCAGTGGTTGAAGCATAACTGCCCATTGAACATCGAGTACAGTAGGTACTGGCGGTGGACGATGCATAAGTACCAGCAGGACACGGTAACGGTGACTGAGAACTATTAGCACAGAAATATCCCGCAGGACATGTCGTACAGGAGGATGCCCCTAACGTTGCGCTAAAGTAGCCGCTTGCACATTGAGTACAATAACCGTTGCCGGTACCCGAAGCGTAAGTACCGGTTGCGCACTGCGTGCAAAAACTACTTCCAAGGTATGAAGCGAACGTGCCAGCTGAGCATGCTATACAGATGGACGAACCCGTCCTGTTACTATAAAACCCATATGCACACTGACTACAGTAGCTATTTCCAGTACCAGACGTGTAAGTACCAGCTATACAGGGCTCGGGTAACTGAGAGCTATTCGCACAGAAATATCCTGCTGGACATGCAGTGCAGGATGTTGCTCCCACCGCAATATTGTAATAACCAGTTGAACATCGAGTGCAGTAGGTACTGGCGACGTACGATGCATAAGTACCAGCAGGGCACGGTAACGGTGACTGAGAACTATTAGCACAGAAATATCCAGCAGCACACGTGGTACAGGAGGAAGATCCGAACGTTGTGCTATAGTATCCACTTGCACATTGAGTGCAGTAACTGTTGCCGGTGCCTGCGGCATAAGTGCCAGCAGCACATGCTTGTGGTGATTGAAAACTAGTTGTACATGAGTAACCTGCTGGACATGGCAGGCACTGCATACCATTTTGGTAGTAGCCAAATGAGCACACTGAAATGTACCGAGCATAAGTTAGCGAAAAGATAATGGACAGCTATATGACAAGCTTCAGTTTCTATACATATAGAATAGGTTACATAATTTGCAAAATATTAAATGACAAAACATTTTCTGAACATATTTTGGTAGTATAAAAGTATATTCGCTATTGTCGAATATATGTCAAAATACTTTTTCACAATATTTAAGTACCGACAGCATGTCCAAACATAATAAACATCACCGGATTATTGTTTTAACGTTTTAGTAATGCGCAGGTGATTCACAATGTAAAGACGATACTCATGCACAATTTCTGCCCGTACACCGTAGCTTGGATTCAGAAACAACCATCATTTAGACTACAAACGCTAACTTATTCAGATTTTTGGAATGATCAGTTGTATCAGTCGAAAATAAAGACTAGGAACATACTCATTCTTAGCGATAGAACCATACCTATTGTCGGCGTTGTTATACTTGAGACAATAGATTCGGTGGTCGTTGTTATCATAGTTGTAGTCACTTGAGTCACCACCACATCGGTTGTGTTAGGCGTTGTTACGCTTTGTTGAATGGCTGCAATTAATGAAAAGAGCATGCAAACGAAGCACCAGTAAACAAAGATAAAGATGTATAAGAAAAACAATATTAATACACATCTCACATTCTGATGATAGTTTCTAACAATAATTCTCTTTGAATTCTTTGCAAATCCATTTATTTGTTGTTCAAAGTGTTGCTTCTTCCGTCGCTTCTCTCGTGTTCAGTGTTCGTTGAAAATAGGGCACAATATGACAAAAAAAGATTATAGCTGCTAAAAACTTTACATACATGTTATTTCACCAGAACTGCTACGATGAGTAAATACAACTGGAAATATGATTGCGCTAACGCCAATGAATGTACCAAGTACTGCCAAAATCAAATATCTTCCGGTGCAACATCTCCTGCGCATTTTCAAAAGAAAAAACTTTGTGGATATCTTAAAAAATAAGCGCATAAAATAGCTTTTCTTGTTCGAAAAACCGAATTCTATATTATTTCGTGACAATACACTTTCTCACCAAGACAATCCGTATAGAAGTGTATTTTTCTTACATATATACATGTGGGTATGACAGTATGTTGAACCATGTAACTAAATGCAGCATTGCCATTTCCACGTTTTCGGACATCTCAACCACATTCCTTAAAAAAACTTTCCTATGACTCGTACCTTGGCGGATCGATAGTTCGCCGTGCATCAATACTTCCATGTTGCCGGTGTGGACTCTCGACACGGCCGGGGCTGACAACGCGAGTACCTTGTGGTAATATATTCGACGGCCTCTGTTCATATGTGGTTCGTCTGCTTTCAGAATCCTATTTGCAAAGGAAAATTGATATCTTAACATCTAAATAAGCTGCATACTGGAAAGTAGGTAGCTTGACGGTTTTCATGCGTAGGATTGCGCTCTAAATTATTGACTAACTGTCTGATCACATAGTTGGGTCGCAAGGCACGGACACTCAATGGTTGCCTAGTGAAAGGACTCGTGCCGTGACGGGCGATCCATTCAGTGATCGCAGTTCGTTCATATGTATAACCATCTTCAGCTAACACGGGATCTCTGAACGCCTCACAAGTGATTGGACAGATCAACCCATTTTCGAATGAATACGCCATGTATTTATAGATCAAATCGTACCCTACTACTGTATTTCAAACACAAATGATTTTTTGTACAGTGTATACGAAAGCCAAGGAAGAAAAAGTATTCTATTTCGGCTTTTTCCAACAAAAATTCTAAAATGTTATATGTCGTCACTACTTGCTTTGACAACCATTCGCAAAAATATTTCTTTTCACCTGTTCTCTGAAACAGCGAAGAACTATAAAAGAATGCAAGTATCGAGAGAATGCCAAAATGAATACATATAGTATTATTTTCTTTTAAACCATGAAGTGTCACAAGAGAAAAAACGGTTGCGATAGAAATAGTAGAAGGATCATCTTTCATAATCCATGTACTGAAAATCGACTTGCTTTGTTGAGGGGTCCACAAAAAATAAATTTTATCCTAGAGTAACTTTGTATGTGATATATAAAACCTACTGTTCCATCTAGTTCCTTTAGTCCTGTTACTCCTTTTACTCCTTTTAGGTCCATTAACTCATCCACATCTCAACCTGTTTTTATATCGGATTACAGTAAACTCCACGTCTGTACTAGTATTACTGTTTACACTATGTACTAACGCGAAATAAATTTAAAATGAAATAATTCCACCAATTGAATTACGTATAAGGAAAGTGCCCATTAAGTTATATCAACATGAAATCTAAATAGACAATAGTTTACCCTGGGGCTCCATGTAAAAAAGATAATATCGTGTATAATATGTATTATTTTATTAGATGGCTCTTGCTATGATGACTATTTATAATATTCATGAGATAGTAGAAATTCATATGTAATATTAATACGGATCGAATTTTCTCGATCGATAAAATTTAGATATCTTTTAATCGTAAGTACATGTGTTTCCAAGTATTGAATTACATATACGTATATTTTAAATTCTAATAAA